ACAGTAAGCAAGTAAAATCATATTAATTTAGTAATAATCCAAATTAGTATTGAATAATATTTACAATTACGATAAAAGTAATCATATTGACAGCAGTCAGACAAATTTTTTGAATTTTTGCCAGGATGGGACCACAAGTATCATTTCTCCAAACATATCGTCATTGACAATAAACATCGTAATCTATAAAAGGTCGAGATTATTACTTCACCTCTCCATGCACTGTCATTCAATATCGGTCTTTCAAGCAAGAATATACTTCTGCAATTTCAAATGATTTTAATTTTCATCACTTAATGGCTGATTGTAAAGTTTGCTTAAAATATTATTCAAAAAAAGTTTTTTCATAAAGTATATCTATGATGGATTTTCGGTTCTAATTTTTACCAAAATGGTCACATTTGTTAGGAAAAGCACAAGAAGAAGATATGGGAATTTGTTCAATGAAATAGCAAGTAAACATACTGCAGTTACACTGTCTGGTAGTAGGTCATAAAGTTAGACAGAATCTATGATTCTGCTGGAAAAAATTGCGCTGTCCAAAGACGACTATGTATTAACAAATCTGAAAAAGTGCGCGTGAAATTATTTAAATAATTCACACAAAATTTTAGGTCACTTGAAATGCCAGCTAACCCAATAAAGTTGCATTTTTAGGAGGACTTTTGAGTTAGTTTGAAATCCAATCAAGCTAAGACAAATGAGTCTAATAAGACTTGACATGAGTAATATCTGTCTAAAAGACGATCCATATCAAACAATGTAATAGATGACAATTTAAAAACCATAACAATAACAGTTGAGCTCATCTCTTCAGTTTCTAAAAATTTTTCATCAATTGTGTTATTTTGAAAGGAAAATGTCAAATTTCGACTACTGGAATTTGAATTTTGTGTCCAGAAAACATAACTTCCTAATATAGCTGTTTAACGAAAATCAGCAATAATTTTTGAAGTTTCTTTCAAAAACTGCTCGTTTTTAGTGCAATAATTTATAAACTTGGTTGCTTTTTCAAACAATACTAAAAATGTGAACTATGAACTTCAACCATGACTCTAACATGTGAAAAGTGAAAATTATTGATAAGTAGTGAGTTTGTCATCTAATCCCAACATTAATATTTAGTTTAATATAATTTATTTTTTGTAGGAAAATTGTTCTGTGAAAGCGAACTTTGACCTTGAAAATATCATTGATTGCGGCGAAGAAATATATGCATTTTCGTTACAAAAAATAAGATTATTGTTGAACTGTCAAAACCTTCGCAAAACATCTGTAAAATTCTCTTGACTTTAATTATAATTTAAAGAATTCTAACATCTAAACTTTAATTAAAAACGGAGCTCGAAGCTGTTTCGGAATGAAAGTTGAATAATTTTTGGAACTGTTAATTTAAATTTATACTGCCAAAAATGTGATAAGTGATTTCACAGTCTATCGATAATGAAATGGTAAAATTCGAAAAATGAGCAGTGTATTCATGTTTCTTATTTCCCATACCCCACCTAATTTTCCGGTTCAGAACAAGCGAATAACTTTTGGAATCTCAGCAATTTTGGCTTCATTTATTTGAAAATAATATTTTGAAAATTTGCTGTCAAATAATAGCATGCAAATAAACTTGTATAATTTTTTTAGTTATAATAATATAAGAGTTTTTATTTTTTAATAAATTTGTAGCGATGAGTTTTAGTATTACTCTTGCCTTTGCTGATTCTGATGTTCTAATTAGTGCACTTGTTGCAATGCTTAGTAATGTAGTAATAGAAAAATTGCGATCGGCAGTGATGGGCATTTGTACAAGAAATCAAAAATAGATGATAGTCCAACTTGGATAGTGCATACAAATCGGTGTTTGGTATCAACGGTGTTTTATATTATTTTTTCAATTTTCGTTCTTTGAGGAAAAATGGCATGTAATTTTTTGTTCAGTAAAGTTTTATGATTCGTTGGAAGTTTTGGTATGATCGATATGCATTGATGAGATCATCTCCAGAAGAAGAAATAAAGGTTACAAAAATGATACAAAGTGGTACACTTTGCAGTTGTACTTGATGTGGAAGATCTGACTGAATTCAAATTAATGATTATTATTACTGATGTCTGCTTAAATTTAAGTGAATTAATAATAAACTTATTGCAAGATATTAAAAATAAAATACTAAATCGTGATTGGATTTTATGCACAATCTTAGTTAATATTTGCTTGACATATGATGGCGATGAAATTTTATTTGAAATCAATAATAAAATTTTAATTCATGAAAAACAAAAATATAATCAAGCAAATAGCGATAAACTAA